ACATGCAAAGCTGGGTTACTACAAAGGTCATGCTCAAGGTTTAGGCAGTAAAATTAGAAAACTGAACAGGTACTCTAAAAAGGCATCTGATAGGGTGCGGAGCAACTGCTTGAGCAAGTGAAACTCTAATGCTGACTGTCCACTGATTTTTCTACTGAACTATAAAGTTTGTTTCAGATGCCTCAGCATCCACAGATTGGTTCCCAAGAATGAAGCCCCTAACAGTATCACATTACAGGGTTTCTGACATAAAAGGGGACTGAAGAGATGGCTCATCAGTTAAGAGCATATACTGCTCTTGCAGAGGGCCTAGGTTCAGTTCCCAGCACTCATCTTCAGCAGCTCTCAACCACCTGCGACTCCAGTTCCAGGGGATTTGATGCCCTCTTCTGGCTTCACAGGCGCCTGTGTGCACATACATACATGCAGGCACACACATACATAGAAAAAAATCTTTTATAAAAAAATAAAATAAAAAATAAATAAAGTGGTTCTGGGCTAAGGTTGTAGCTCAGTGACAAAGATTATGTTTAGCATGCAGGAGGCACTGGGTTCAAGTCCCAACAAAATAAATATAAAAATAAAGCAGGTGGAATATACCTGTAATCCCAGCACTCTCCAGGCTGAAGCAGGAGGATCATTTTGAGTAAAAGGCCAGCATTTGCTACAAAAAGAGACCCTGCTTAAAGAAATAAATATATAAATGTCACAGTATCACCTATAACTTATAATCATCCTCTCCATTTTCAATCAGCTTTAAATGACTTGTGATAGCTAATGGAAGATAATTACTGTGTATATAGTCATTACTTTATTATTTAGGGACAGAAGTCTACACGTCCAACACAAACATGACTTTGTTCAATTACTTTCAATCCTCAGCTGAATCTTCAGATTTGGAACCTGTGCATTTAGAGGGCTGGCTAGAGCTTTTAAGTATTTAACAGTTTTATTACTTTGTATCACTTAGGAACGTTTAAAAGAAAAAAAAAAAAAAGGTAGTGGTAACTAGCACAGTACTCACTGGAACACCTATCAATTCTCCTGCCCCAACCTCCTGAGTAAGAAAATCAAATTCTAATGAAGTCTAGTGAACTACAAACCACATGGCATAATTAAGAACCAAAGAAAATTTCGGATTAATTATCTACAGCTAAGTGTCAGAATAATTCCACTAGATAAAAGTGGCTTTTCTTTGCTTTTTCCTTCTTTCTGTTGTCCGGACAGGGTTTCACTACATAGTTGAGGCTGGTCTAGACCTTGTGATCCTCCTGCCTCAGTCCCCAGAGTTCTGGGATTTACAGGCATGAGTTACCAAGTTCAGCTGTTGACTTTTTGCTTAGAAACAGAACCTGGGGTAGGATTCAGAGACCTCTAGACCAATGGGCCAGCTCCGCCCCTTCCTGGCTACTACACCAATTTTGGGTTACTTAGCTACGCAGTTGTCTGAGATTCACATTTAGGGTGTCCTATGCCTTCTGAACTCCACAGGAAAGCAGGAAAAGCTTGTCTTTAGGCACCTACTCCAAACTCAGTCACCAGTTCCTATTTGACCTAGACTCAATGTCCACATCTATAATGAGGAGTTAAAACGCCTACCCTTGGGGCTGGAGAGATGACTCAGTGGTTAAGAGCACTGGCTGCTCTTGCAGAGGACCTAGGTTCAGTTCCCAGCACCCACAAGGTGGCTAACAAACATCCATAACTACAGTTCCAGGGGGTCTGACATCCTGCATGATGACACAGGGGCACTTCCAGACATGCAGGCAAAACACTCATACACATAAAAAATTTAAAAACCCTACCCTTGAGGAGATCAGTGATTGTGTATTCAGTATGTGGCAGAGGCCCCTGGGTTCAAAACTCAACACACAGCATGTGCGCGCGCCACGCACATGCACCTGCACACACACACACACACACACACACACACACACACACACCAGCTCTTTAGGATTCCTCCATGCTTACAGAGGGTACAGCACAGTTACTGCACTTAGTTGAGTACTAAAAATTATTATGTTTCTTCCTTCAATCTACTAGACAAATAATTTTAAATTATGTGGTAATATTAAGCAAAGGTTTCATAGAACATTTCATTTTTCTGAAAAGCTTTCAAGCTGGCATGGTGACACAGGCCTATAATCCCAGGAGAGGTTGAGGCATAAGGCTTGCCTGGACTGTAGAGTGAGTTCAGGCCAGCCTGTGAACTGAGTCTTTGGGAGGAAGGCGAGGAAGAGGAGGGAAGGGGAGGAAGGTGAGGGTGACTAGTACAATAATAGGTAGGCTTACTTGCTCAGTGGTAGAGCACTTGACTAGCATACACAGGCCTTGGGTTCAATTCTCATGAAATGAATGAATGGTTAATAAAATAGAGATCTTCAAGGGATGGGAGTATGGCTCAATGGTAGAGTGTTTGCCTAGTAAGCAGGAGGCCCTAGGCTTAATTCTTTTTTAAAACATATTTTATCTTTTTAAAATTTTATTTTATGTGTATGAGTGTATTGCCTGCTTGTGTATAAGCACAATCATGTTGTACAATGTCCTTGGAGGTCAGAAGAGGGAGCTGGGTCCCCTGGAACTGGAGTTTACCGACAGTTGTTAGGTGACATGTAGGTGCTGGGAATGGAACCTGGTCCTCTGCAAGAGCGTCCAGCGCTCTTAACCACTGAGTCATCTCTCCAGCTCCCCTAGGTTTAATTCTTAGCACTGCCAATAACACAGAATAAAAAATAAAAGAACCATTTAGCTGGGCCTGGTGACTCAGGCACAGCATCTATAATCCTGAGCTCAGGAGACAAAGGCAGGTGGATTGAAAGTTAGCTGCCTAGGCTACTTAGCAATCCGCTGTCGCTAATTAATTAACTCAGGTCTTCAAGCTGGCCATGGTGGCCACACCTGTAATAGGATGTTGAGACAAAGGATCAGGGGCCCAAAGGCCACCTTGTGCTACAGAATAAGACCTGTCTCATTAATTAATTAATTAAAATAAAATGGGCCTTCAAAATGGCTAGCCTACTGGATTCACCAGTCCCTGGAACCAGCCTGCCCACCCTAGGCTGAAAATGGTTGGTCTGGTGGATTCAGACCACAAGAGGAAGAACAGGAACCTTCTTCTCCACGGTTCCCAGCCTGGGCCCAAATGCAGCATAAATCTCAACCCAAAATGAGGTTAGAACTTTTAGGTGTGTTTTACGCATTTCAGATTTGCATCGCTGCAAAGAAGTACCCAGCTGTAATTACTGTAACAAAAGGGTTGGGGAAGCCAAGAGAGATCTCAAGGGGGTGGCTATTCTTCCTGGGAGGTGAAAAACTGCTAGCCTCCAAGACTGGCAGGAAGATTCACTTCCACAGAGTAAAACACGCCTGTAATCCCAGCTACTTGGGAAGCTGAGGCAGAAGGTTCACCGCCTGCCAGAGCCAACAGCGTGAGCTCTAGATCAGCCTCAACAACATAGTGAGACCCTGTCTTAAAAAGTAAAAAAGACTAGCCTGGTGGCACACGCCTTTAATCCCAGCACTCAGGAGGCAGAGGCAGGCGAATCTCTTTATTTTGATATATCACAGTGAAAGATTTATCGTCCTCTTTTTTTTTTTTTTTTTTTTTTTTTTTTTAAAAAAAAAAAAAAAAAAAAAAAAAAAAAAAAAAAAGTAAAAAGGAGTAAAGATGGATGTAGTTCAATGGGAGCGGATCTAAATTCAATGCTCAGTACTAGGGGGAGCGGTGGAACCCGCGCAAGAAACGTGAACGTTTCCTAACCTGTAAACCAGGTGAGCGAAATCGAGGCAGGGAGGGCAGGAACAAGCGCACACCGCCGCAAGGTCCAATTCTCTAGGCAGAAAGTTGCAGCGCGTCTTTCTTTTCTCGGAGCAAGTCACTCATCCCCGGGCGTTCAGCCCCTTCCTTACCGAGTCCCCTCCAGTTGGAGACACAGTGGAATCGGTAGGACCTCATCTCCAGTTCCGTCAGGGCGAACTGCCTTTCACAGAGCCCTTCCAGGGCGAACAGTTACTTTCCAAACTCTGGAGGCTCCCGGGGCGCCCTCCTCAGTCCAAGCGACCGCACCGCGCGGTCCGGAGCCGCTGACAACCTGGCGGCGGTGGTCGGATGGCATTTCGCACCCAGCCCAGGGCCGCAGGGACAAACCCGGGAGCTCCAGTCTGTGTAAACAGCGCGCCCGCCAGCCCATTGCTAAAGGACCCCTTTGATGCCTCGGCTGTATTTATTTATCTCCTATATAAATCAAGATTCTGCTGACAAATCTGCGGTGTTTCCACTAAACCGAGGTTGCCCTGCAAAGCCACTCTCCCTGTCGATTCCTTTTAAAAAGCAAGATCACTTCTGACACTTTCCTGAACCAGCCCGCAGAGGACACCACCCAGGGGGCGATTGCCCGGGTGATTTGTGGCACCCCCTGAGCACACGTGGGGACGGCCGTCCCCTAGGCGGGCGGAGGGAAGGGACGCGGAACAGGGAGCAGTTATTTTCCTGTCAGTGGATCCGAAGGAGAAGGATGCCAAACGCACTCCCACAGCCAGCTGAACTCCACGGGCACATAATCACTGCCAGATGTGCGGAACGCGCACCGAGGACATCCCGAGTCCCCGAGAAAACACCCGGCCAGGGCACGGCGACGGCTCGGACCGCAGTAGGGCCACGGGGCGCGGATCCAGGGCCCGGGAGAGAGTGGGGAGCGCGGCAAACGCACAAGGAGGAAGATGCTTCGCTCTCCTCCGCATGCTTTTTCAATTAAAAAGTTGGAAACTGGAATCCGTAAACAACCACTTGGGGCTTCCAAGCGACTCTGCGAAGACGCGCTGAGAGGAGAGTGCTTGCGCGCTTCCAAACCCTCAGCCTTGGGCTGTGCTACACACCGGAGTCCGCAGCGCCCCAGTATCCACCCGCGACCGCGGAGGGGAAAGCACCTCTGTCGACCTCCCGCGCGCCCCGAAGTCCGTCCAGCCCGGCCCGATCCCGGCCAAGCCCACCGCCGCCCTACCTTTCATGGTGACCGCGGACACGCACCGCCAGCCGGGGAGCCCCGAGCCGCCGAGGAAGTCGCTCCGAGCGGCCGCTCACTGCGCGCCCATGGCAGCCGCGCCGCGCCCGGCCGTCCCCGCTGCCGCCCTAGCTCGGCGCTCCGCACTGT